ATCATTTTAAATACAATAACATCCAAAATCCACACAACAATGATATCTTTATTAGCCAACTAAAATGCACAAAATACATGATGCAAACTTTCAAAGTTTATGTGCTTCATCATAAGGGAAAGGCATTAAAAATCAAACAGGAGGGAGAAAGAAAGTAACCATATTGGAGTCATAGGACTACATTTTGTTAAGATGTTATAACTGTTCCCAGTTAAGATGGTACAGAGGGATATCCATGTATGCAGAAGCCATTTCTCCTACTTAACCATGTGGGCACAAAGGGTTGTAAACTCTCAAGTCCATTACCAACATTGTTTTAAAGTTATTTTTAGTATTAACATAGTGTTCTGCTACAGAATACTTCTATTACCCTTCTGTTTTACCTCAATTAGTATACTTCAGGGGTTGGCAACCTACGGCCTGTGAGCCGGGTGTGGCCCGCCGAGGCCTTTGGACCGGCCCCTGCCTGGTACTGCCGCTGCCGCGCTGCCGCCTTTCGCAGCCGCAGGGTCCTCCAGGGTGCCATTTTTGATTTCAAAATGGTGCCCAGAGTCTCGCGCAACCTTTCCCATCGCGGGAAAGGTCGCGCAAGACTCAGGGGCATCATTTTGGAATCCAAAATGGCACCCCAGAGGACCCCTGCCGCGGCGCCAGGCCTCTCGGAGGCCCGGTGCGGTTGAGAAAGCCCTCCTGGGGGAGGGAATCCTGGGTCAAGGGAATTCCAAAACCTTGGAAGCCTCCTGGGGGCCCTGCGGTGGTGCTGGGCCTCTCGGGGGCCCGGCACGACCGAGGGAAGCCTCCTGGGGGGCCCCGCGGCGGCGCTGGGCCTCTTGCAGGCCCGGCGCTGCCGAGGGAAACCTCCTGGGCCCAGCGTGGCTGAGGGAGCGATGCGGGGGGGCGGCCATTTTGTTTTTCAAAATGGCATCGCATACACGGGGGGCAAGCGCGTGCGCAACGCGGGGCAGATAGCGGCCGCCATTTTGTTTTTCAAAATGGCATCGCACACACGTGGGGGCAAGTGTGCGCGCGCACGCAAGTGCACTTGCCGGCGCCCAGTGCCATTTCCTCCTCCCCGGGCCGTTGGCAAAAAAAGTTGCCGACCCCTGGTATACTCAATTAATTAAATAATTATATGTATGTCCTTGTCTTCTGTTAATTCTAATGAAAGCCATAAAAAGAACCTTCTGTCATGGACCCAATAAAGAGATCTGAGCTGACTCCCCACAGGTAACAAAGCCAATCATAAGAAAAATGGGGGCTGTTGAAAGAACAATGGTATCTAGAATATTAAAAATGTTTTTGTTTGGTTATTCAGGGCTTATCTCCCAGAGCTGCTTTAGTTCACATGTGCTTATTGTATTTTGAATTTTAAAAATTGCTGAAACATGTTCATCTGCTCTTCTTTTTTGTGGTACCACAAAAATTGAATTTGAGAGCCAGCATGATGTGGTTTAAAAATTGGACTATGACTCTAGAGACCAGGATTCGAATCTCGGCTCAGGAATGTAAACCACTGGGTGACCTTGGGCAAGTCACTGTCTCATTGCTTCAGGGGATGTCAATGGCAAACCTCCTCTGAAGAAAGTTGCCAAGAAAACCCTATGGTAGGGTCACCATAAGTTGGAAACGACATCAACATCTATCTATCCCTATTCTTTCTATTTTATTTCTACTTCCTCTGGTACCAACATCTGTGTTAAAGAAGTAAAGCCTAGGAACACATCTACTTTATTAAGGGGGAGTGAGGGAAACCCAGGATATTTCAAGAAAGAGTTTGGGAATACGCAGGTGAAATCAGTACAAAAAGAACTAGAAAGTCTTGATACTTCCATTGTCATTTTTCACTTTTGGGGTGAGCCCTGAGCTCTCTCTCTAGAAACACTGTTAAACTACTTTTGGAACTATGCTGGGAAAGAAAAGAATATCTGAAAGTTTGTAACTCCCCAGACCAGTGTGCCCAAGTTTTACAATCTTCAAGGGAGGACATTCTCTCCATCCCATCACCTGCTCCAAGGTTTTGGAATTCCCTCCAAAGGGAGGTTTGATCTGCCCCTTCTTTTTGCCAGCAAAGAAAGGCTGTCTTGTTTAAGCAGACCTTCAGCCTTGGATGATCAGAGTTGAATAATGTGCAATTAAGTGCGCTGCTTTTTAAACATCTAATTTGGATATTAATAGTTTTAATCTTTAAGGTTTTAAAAGGAGTGTTTTAAATGAATGTATCATTTAATGTTTAAAATCCTGGAG